GCTGTCGCCGGCGATTTACAGCGGGCTGACGGGTTTGCTGATCAGTGTCGCGGTGGTTGCGGTGCTGGCCGGACGTCCGTTTCCTGCGTGGATCTCTGCCTGGCTGCTGGTTGGTGTGTGTGGTCAGCTGGAGATGACACGGGGACTTGGCGTTTCGCTGGCTGTGTTCGTCTGCGTGGCGCTGCTGGTCATAGCCTCTCGGGCGGGCGTGTTTCGCACCGGCACGCGCGCCATTCTGCCGCTGCTCCTGTTTGCCGGGATGGCTGCCGTGGCCGCAGCCGGCACGGCCATGGCGCTCCAGCAGCTGGATGACGTGGTGGTGAAGACACTGGATGGCCTGATGGCGACCGAGCCGTCGCTCGCAACAGGAGGGATTGGTCGTGAAATCACGATCAGGGAAAAAAGCACAATGACGCTGTCGCCGCGTCCTCTGCTGGAAGTGTCATCAGAAACGGGGAACCTGCGGGTTCGCGTTCTCGACCATTTTGACGGTGAGACATGGTCCACGTCGTCACAGCTTCGCCTGACCCCACGCACGCTGTCGGAAGTTCCGGTTCGCTCGGATGCCGAGCGACGTGTTGAGCTGACTCCGCTTGCTGATTTGGATGGGGTGTTGCCATCTCCCGCCGGCACATGGTCTGTGCGCGGCGCGACACCGCTTGTCGAAGGAGGATGGGTTCTGCGGGGAGAGGTGGAGGCAGCGGAGCTGACGCTGATTGGAGACGCCAGCGAACGGCTGCCCGAGGAAGAGGCGGGACCGGAGTATCTGACGGTTCCCGACGAGCTGCGCGAGGCGTTGACCCCTTTTGCCGAGCAGTTAACCAGCGAGGCTGACACGAACCGTGAGAAGACAGAACGGATCGCAGAGTTTTTTCAGAACAACTTTGAATACTCTCTGGAGACGAACCTGGCTGGTCCGGATCCTCCGCTGGTCACACTGGTCAAAGAGCGACGGCCTGCCTACTGCGTGTACTTTGCCAGTGCCATGGCGGTGTTGCTGCGAACTCAGGGAATCCCGGCACGCCTGGTGAGCGGATATGCGCCGGTGGAAGTCAATCCGCTCACCGGCCGCGCCACCATTCGGCAGCGCGATGCCCACGCATGGGTGGAGGTGTGGCTGGCTGAGGAGGGGCGGTTTGTCGCCTTCGATCCCACGCCCGGTTCTTCGCGTGAAGATGCGATCGGATACTCCGGCCGGCCGGGGATGATCGCTGCAATGGCGGGGGCCGTGCGTTCCTTTGCCAGGCGAACGTGGTCAGCGCTGCGGCGCAGTCCGGTCGACTGGTTTGTTGCCATACTCAAGTCGCCGATCCTGTGGCTGTTACTGGCCGGGATTGCACTGGTACTTCTGCGCCGGCGAATGAAACGCACCCGGGCTGCCGTTGATCCCCCGGAACTCGAATCATCCGATTCGTTTCTGCGCCAGGTTTATCATCGCTACACGACAGCGCTGCAGAGTGTGGGGATTACGGCCGATGTCTGGGAAACGGAAGACGAGATCATGACCAGGTTAGCGGACACGACCGATCCCGCGACGGCAGCCAGCGCGGCGGAATTCATGGCCCGTTACCGTCAGGCGCGGTTCAGTGGTGGACCGGTCGATCAACAGCTGTTCGATCTGGCTGGCCTGGGCCTGCGCGATTCTCCCTGACGGCCAGGTTCGTCGGTGGCTTCGTGGCCTCTGTGCCTGTGTGGTCAAAAACTGATTGCGCATTGGATCGTTTGAGGTGATGCGCCTGGCTCCGCCACGGCGGATCTGCGATCGGGTTCAACGAAAGGGTGGCTGGGGTCGACCGAAGGGAGCCCCCAGTGATTCAGGCCTGTCGCAGATCTGTCAGGGAGGCTCGAAGTGCGAAGCTCCCGCCGCGGCGGACTGCGGTATCCTGTCTGGCATGTGGGATGTTTCAGCTGCGGCTGTGGACAATACGTACGCCACCGTCAGGCACACGACGCTGGATTGCCAGTGTTGGTAACCGCCGATTACTCTTCGCCAGCCGGCACCCAGATCCCGCGCTTTTGCATGTGGTCGTACTGTGCGTCACCGTGTGCGTCGAGTAATGCAATCAGTGACTCTTCATCGCCAATCTGCGAGCAGTGTGCAATTTCGGATTCATAAGCTCTCAGGTGCTCCTCCAGCAGGCGTTGAGCACTGGCACCGGGAAGATACTGTGCCTGTACAAATTCGGGCGAAGAGAGTTTGGCTCGAAAATCAGACGTCCCGTACGTGCGGATCCCACCGGTGTCTGGATGGCGGGTTGCGCATGACATCACAAGTGACTCGGTATTCTCAGCAGGCCCGAAGCAGCTGCCGGCGACCTGTATCCAGTGTCTGTCATTCGCATTCCACAGTCGCACAACGGCAACCATGTGTTCTCCGTCCGATGATTGCCAGTAGAACCAGAGGGAATTGGCGAATCCCAGGGTGGCAGCATCTTCGAGTCGCGACTCGATGACCGCTTTGAGTCGTGGCGGAACATCGCCTTCGCTGCAGAGCTGTTCTCGTGAAGAACCAGGCGGAGGGATCTCCGTGGAATCGAGGTCAACGAGACCTAACTTCGCGAGGCACCACACGAACCGTCCCAGCAAAGGGCGTCCGGAGAGTTGTGCAAACTCCCACGCGGGCATATTCGAATTCCGAGCAATGTATCGCATGGATCACAGGTGTTGAACAGAGGGTGTCGCGGTTGCAGTTTCAGATCCGCCGAATCGTGGAATGGCCACAGGAAACACAAAACGTCGCAGGAAGTCGAGTATGTCATCTCGTGCTTTTCTGTGGCGATTTGCAGTGTTGCAGTTGAAGGCCGGTCGCGGCAGGCAGAAACAGAAAGGCTGGCCAGGACATTCAGGCATCAATCCCACGTATCATTGATATCACGGATGATGACCTGCCGAATCGTCCATCCGATTTTCAGGCCGGCCGGGCTGGTGACGATCGGCAGGAAAGCAAAGGCACCCGCGGCATCACTCTGGCCGCCCTGGGCCACATAGATCCACGCGGCCAGCAGAGGCCCGAAAAACGCCAGCAGAAACCCACCGATCGGAATCAGCAGTGACCAGACCCTCAGAGAGTTCATCGTTGGTGCCACCAGTGTCAGAGGATTCATTCTATTTGCCACAAGGTTGTCACACACGCCGAGTCTAACGAGCGGAATGAAGCGCCTCCAGACTTCGCACACGGAACGGAGCAGCGGCCGGAGCGTCGGGACGCAGTCCCTGCTGTTCCTCTGTGTCCTTGTGCTCTCCGTGAGATCCTCACGAATCTGTCCGCGCTGCGGGTAGTCCTTCACTGTCCCTGCTATGCATTGTCACATCGACGGTTTATAGTCGCGGGACGAAACAACCGTGCATGACTGAGAACTCAAGGCGACACAATGGGAATCCCACAGGGGCTGGCAACGGCACTGAGTCTGATTGGTTTACTTCTGGTGGGTTTTGGCATTCTGGACGTGGTGCTGGCCAACTTCTTCGAAATCGACATCACCGGCGTCTCCTGGTCGCCCATCGCTGCATGGGTCTCGGGCGGACTGTTGCTCAAGCTGTTTTCGGATGACGATGAGTAGCCGCGTGGGAGTACGCGTGAGTATCGCAGACCTGCAAAGACAGCAACAAAGTGGCTGAGGCCGAGTCAGCCGCAGGCGGATGAGCGCCCGGTGGGCACTGCCGCCACCCGACGCTGCATTGGCGGCCGTGGCAGGCCTCGTCATCGTATTACTGCCGTCGAAACCCTATGATCCGGGTTCGGGCGTCAGGAGGCGAATCGATACGACGCCGTTCGGGTGTGCGAATCAGCCGTTGCTTCACCAGTCCGCTCTTCGTGCGCTTCACGGCATGTTCCCCGGATCCATCAGTCCATCATCTTCATTCTCGAGTATTTCATGAGTTGTTGGGATTTCTGTCCTGTCTTCGCTGTCAGTACCGGCGTTGAGACTTCGGCCGGCGGCAGCTGGACAATGCTGACGATCTACTTCAGTCTGGCGATCCTGGTTTCGTTCGCCTGCTCCATTTTTGAAGCCGTGCTGCTGAGTGTCAGTCAGCCGTTCATCGCGACGCTGAAGAAATCGTCGCCGGACATGGGTCAGCGATGGGACACGCTGAAGACTCAGATCGACGGCCCTTTGACGTCCATTCTGACGCTCAACACCATCGCGCATACGGTGGGATCGATTGGTGTCGGCAAAGAAGTGGCCGGGCTGGCCGGTCAGTCCGGCTACAGTGGATGGATCAATGGCCTGGCGGCGGCCCTAATGACCCTGGCCGTCCTGGTGCTGTCTGAGATCATTCCCAAGACGCTGGGGGCCAGGTATTGGCGCAAGTTCGCTCCGATTGTGGGCATCCTGCTGGAAAAGCTCACCTGGCTCATGACTCCTTTCGTCTGGTTCATTCGAGTCTTTGGCGGTTCGGGACATGGCGAAGTCGAATTCAGCCGCGAAGAACTGAGAGTGATGGCGGACATCGGCGTCAGAAAAGGGAAGCTTCAGGAGGGCGAATCGCGGATTCTCAAGAACCTGCTGCACATGCGCGAGAATCAGGCTCAGGACGTAATGACACCGCGAGTGGTCGTCTTCTCGCTGGCTGAAGAGACTCGGGTCGCGGACTTCATGGCGGAGCACCACGATTGTCCTTTCTCTCGCATCCCGTTGTTTCGCGACAATCCCGACAATGTCACGGGCTTCGTCCTGCGGGATGATTTGCTGCTGGCCGCTGCCAGAGATCAGGACGAGGACAGGCTGTCCGAGTATTCGCGTTCCATTCCCTCGATTCCGGAATCGATGAGGCTGATGGAAGCGTTCGATCGCATGATTTCCAATCGGTTTCACATTGCCATCGTCGTGGGTGGTTATGGGGGCCTGGCGGGACTGATTACGCTGGAGGACATCGTGGAAACGCTGCTGGGTCTGGAGATCGTGGATGAGTCGGATACTCGGGAGGACATGCAGCAGTTTGCTCGTTCTCGCTGGGAACAACGAGCCAGGAAGCTGGGGATGCCGGTCGACACCGATTCCAAATCCGGCTCCGATGAGCACAGCACCAACGAGCCGACTCCGGAAGCAGACTGACAAAGGGGACTGGTCCTGATTGAGACAACGGGGCCTATTGCTGCAACGGCCACAGGAAGCGGCAGCTGGAATGCCTGTCCCTTGTGTTGTCTCAACGCACGCCTGTCCGGCTGCTGGCCTGTTGAGAGCCTGATGGCAGTCCGTCAAGCTGGTAACGATCCACCCACTTTCCCTGAGCGTGCCAGATCTGGTCGGGATGTCCGGGCACGAAGTCAAACCCTTCCAGATGCATGCGGGTTTCCTGAATGTCCCAGCGTCGAGTCGGTTGATTGACGGCTTCGGTGAGTGTTTCGGGGAGATCGAATTCAAACAGGCCGTCACGTTCACCAAAGGTATGAATGGTGTACAGCTTTCCGTCTCGCACGCGAATGCCCTGTGAGAAGTGCATTTCCCGAGGGTACCGAAAGACGGCCTCACGCACGAATTCTTCATTCGTCAACCGATATCGGTGGATGCCGAGGTCACTGAGGTCGCCGACCCACAAAAAGGTGCCATCAAAGCAAACCGGGTCGATCCAGGTCACGTCCTTCGTGATATCCCACGTCTGTTCCACAGTCAGCGTTTTGGCATCAATCTTCGCGATGACCGAACGGTTCCGCTTTGGGTCATGCTGACCGTTGACCGGCCCGTGGAGCAGTCCGGCCCAGACAAATCCTTCGTGATAGTCGATGGCTCCCAGATGGTTGACGCCCTCAATCTGTATCCGCTGTTCGTCGATGAGATTCCATTTGTTGTCGAAACGATACAGAGTGGTGGCGGTCGCCGTGTAGTACCGGTCCTGAGTGAGCGCCAGTCCCTGCCCGGCGCGGCCGGGGTCCAGTTGGAACTGTTCGATCAGCTGGCTGCCGCTGCTGGCCGTGATGGCTGCTGCACCGTTCTCTGGAGAAGGCGTATCGCCGTCGTCTGCCGGACAGTGGACCGAGGCGACAAGAATCACTGCAAGAGTGGGCTGTAAGAAATATCTTTTCATCATGAAGAGTCTCATCCGCATGGAGTAGGGCCTCCAGATCGCCACGCCTGATTTCTACACGCGCGGGATCCAGAAGTATTTTCCTGTGTCGGGATTGTAGAACTCGTGGCCGGCATAGTCTTTGTCCAGCTGGAACAGCTGTGACGTTTCGGGACAGGCGACCCGCACTTCCCTCTCCGAAACGTGCGTGACA